GGTAACATAATAGACAGGTTGCACATATATGAATGGTTGTACCCTGACCTTGGTACAAGTGGTAGTCTTTCCGCTGCCCTGAAGACCCACGAACATGATGACATTTGACCGACCCTTCGTGGGGTGCCAGACCGGCACACCCGGGTCCAGCAGTTGGCAGAGTTCGTTGAAAACTGAGGTCTGGATGATCCTGCGCTTGCTGAGTCCCGCTCCCATGTCCTCAAAATCTATGGCAGCTCTTAATAGTGAGAGAACACAACGTCAAACTTGTTGTAAATTTATGGCACTCTTATGAAAGAGACAGAGTAAGGATCAACCGTACTTTCAATAACCACCTTATTGTGGTACCGTCGAAAGCAATCTAGCAGTGTTATGCGTTAATTTCACTAGTAGGGATGACAGAACTACAATGACAGAAACTGTAGCCCTAACGCTTTCTATAGCGTATGTATAGCTATACATGTTCATTACCTGACATTCTGACGTAGCTTCCCAACAAGCTTCACGTTCACATCAGCTTCCAAAAGAGCCGTACATATCTCCTTCAGCATAGCCTGGAGTACCTATAGGAGACACCAATACAATCCCACGCTATCACTACGTATGAGACTCCCTCGTCTTTCACTCGCTCTCAAGAGTAAAGGTATGCTCTTTACCTCTTCATTGATGACAGTGGCGTTGCCAAGGGACCGCAGAGCGGTCGTTATCTTCCTCCCCAGGTCAGCTAGCACCATCTTTTTCGTCGAGGCGAGGCGCGACGGCACGAGTTTTGTTTTTGTGTGGTGCAATTTTTTCTGTCGACACGAATAATTTAGAGAGAAATACGGCCTGCACGAACCGCATGCGCGAGCGTAGCCGGCCCACCACGTAATCAAAAGAATAATGAATACGAACACACATCACACTAAGTTGGTATGTTCAAAGGGCTCCAGTCGGTCTCTTAGCCTGTGCCTCGCCATCATAGTACATGTTCACACCTAGGAACAGAACTGAGGCCACCACCACCAGTGCTCCTAACGCTAGGAAGATTCTTCTGTTACTCAACACAGTCCAGTGGCGTCTCAGTGTTCCAAACAGCCCCAGAGACACGCCGGCCTGAGATACAGCTGTTGAAGGTTGATTAGTTGCTTGAGACTCTCTCTCATTGGCTTGTATTGTACGATGATTCAAATGGTACTCATGATTCGCTGAATCTGTGTCTCTGCCCGACCTCCTCTCCCCCAACTTGCTATCCCTGACTTCATCCTCAATGTTCTGTGGCTTTTTAGAACTTTCTGAACTTTTCTCTTTCGCCAGATGATCACTTGGTTTTCTGTCTGTATTCTGTGTACCATTTTCAATGAGATTTTCACCATCTTGTCTTACGGTAGTAGACGTCATTGGTGCTCCTTCCACTTCATCAATAACAGTCTCAGTGGCTGCAGCTTCCACTGTTTCAATGTCTTCATCTACAACAAGCATCTTTTGTTGGATCTCGTCTTTCTCAGCCTCCTGCTCAGCGGCAGACCCAGTTACTGGTAGTACTTCAACCGCCTCCATTTCTGTATCCTCCTTGTGTTGTTCAAAATCCTCTTCTGTGATTTCAACACCCCCAACATCAAGTGAAGGCTCAGCTAGTGTTAGTTCCACTACTTCCGGTGTACCACTGTCATCCCTAACTATATCACTGTCTCCTTCCTCCATGTCTTCCCTCTCTCTGCTCTCAACTGGAGGAATCGCGTCTCCCTCATCAACCGGGAATTCTTCGAAGGGGATCGGTTGGGGAGTTACGGAATCGTCTTCTCTTGTATCCCTCTGAGCCAAGGATAGTGCAATCATCTGCCCATCTGCGGGAACCTCCGCTTCTGTAGTTTCACTTTCGACTGGAGTTTCTTGCAACATGAATGAAATTGCCGCAGAAAATTCGTTGAGATCCTGACTTGAAACTTCACCAACAGTTACGTTATCTTCACGAGGCAGTGACACAGCTTGGTCGGAATATTCTTTCGTCTCTACATCTGAAACAGCGCCGGAAATTTCACACCACACCTTCCCCAACTTTAATTTCACTGCTACCAACCGCCGTGCTCTCTAAAAGCGAGCCCTCCGTTTGTGAGCTATCGAGAGCCAGTTTCTTAGCGATCGGGGAGCTCAAAACACCCTCTTCCTCCTCCTCCTCCTCCCCTACTACACCCAGAGAATCCCTGAAAACCTTTTCCACGAATTCACTCTCTGGCGGCTCCTCGGATATTCTACCATCAGGAAAAAAGCCAGCTGGAGGGAGAGACTGCGTTACAGGGTGAGCGTTGGTGTAGGCCGGAGACGAGAGCTTTCTCGTATACTCGAGAAGTTGGGAGAATCCACGAGAGGATTTCTTTGTCCCCGAACGAGAAATCGAGGAGATGGAGGACGAAGGGGAAGAGCTTTTGTGGGAGTGAGGTGGCCCGGGAGAGTAGTCTTGGGGGAATATGAGGGTGTGGGGAGGTTTGGGGGTACCCGGGGCTCTGCTGCTGCTGCTGGTGCCGGTGGTCTTTTGACGAGGTAGGGTGGCGTAGTGCTCTGCCAGAGGTGTGGTTGACGCTGACTGGTTATTGTCAATGGAGCTTCATCTGAGAGGAGAGACAGAGTACACATTGCATTAGGTACTTACTATGAAAGTTTATATATTTGTGTGTGAATTTTAGAACACCAGGAAAACTTTATAATGTAGTCACAACCAACACGTGTAAATAACATACTAGGTCCATGCATAAACTTCACTAACAAGACACTCGTTAAGTGCTCATGTGCAAAGTTTAGGTCCACTCATGAAAAATCTTCAGTGTCATGCAAAAATCGTCAGTCTTGCACTACTGTATATATCTCTTTACTGCTCAGTTGCACTTTCATAAGTAGCTACATTACATGTTTGTATATACCTTCTTTCCCGAGGCTATTAGCCGGAGACTGAGGTTCCAAGTCCCCGGGTTCAGTGGACCTCCAGCTTTCCCCTGTTCCAAACCCCGAGTCCTCCATTCCAATTCCAGGAGGAACGGGGGAATGGGAACCAGACACGACACTCAACTGGACTCCATCGGACATCCCAGACCCCTCTCTCTCTCCAACCATTTCTTCTCCTCTCTCTCCTGCAATCACTTGATACTGGAGTTGGTCAGAGGAGTGTTCGCCATGTGAGGAGCTAGAGTCACTCTTTTGTCTGGAGATTGGCTGCTCTAGTGAGCTTCCCAGTTCATCCTGCACACATTTGGTTATAATACTGGAATGAACGCAATGCAGTGAGCCCCTCAGCTCATCCTGCACACATTTGGTTAAATACTAGAATGAACGCAGCACACTGCTGATTGCGAGCAAATGTGAGTGCAAACTTCCCCCAGTTTTAGATGTGTATTTTTAAGCATTACGTCATGTACATAAGTAAGTGAAAATGCCTAAACCTAGAACGAAGGCCAGGTAAGTATTGTTAAGGATATTTTGACATTGTAAACCAAACCCCAGACTTCAGCATTTCTTTATTACAAGAAAGTGTCACTTGACGGATATGGTTTCTCCCTTCCACTCCGCTCTTCGCCTCCCATCCCAAACGTAAACAATGACCATGTGATGGTCCAAGAGAACAAAGAGGAGCTCTGGACGAGCTGTTCGCTTGTCCAAAGCCCTCATCAGCAAGCGTCAACCGTAACTCTCTCTCTGGCATCACGAGTTTATAAAGGCAGTTGAGCGCAGCACTTGTGGTGGTTTGAACTACTGAGATTCATCCCCACAAGGCTTTGGCCAGTACCGAGCCAAAACCCGAATTCAGAATGCTGACATAGTGGATTGGGCCGCCATGTATGTATTCGCTCACCCTCAATACTGGCACCACTCATTTCTTCCTCATCTTCTTCCTCCTCTTCTCCTCCATCCTCCGAGTCACTGCTGTCCACGATTTCAATCCCATCGTCGTCATGGTCACCGTCGCCCTGATGAACCTCCGGGACAACTGACTCCGCCCCCTTTACCTCTTCACCGGAGGTCACTATGATACCTGTGTGCGGTGTGACAGCACAGCATATACTCTGAAAACACGCCCCTGAAATGAGGACACCTCTCTAATAAGGACACCCTGAAACGAGGACACCTCTCTAATAAGGACACCTTTTCCTTCCCCAAAACAGCCTGGCTGCCTAAAGTATGCACACATAAATACCTTCTTCTGTCTTCTCTTGTTCTGATCGTGTAGTAGCTGACACACTGGCAGACGATGAGTCAAGATCACCAACCATTCCCTGTGGAAGAAAGAGACACCCTAGTTACCTATACAACTACACTACTCTACGAAGCAGCAACCATGTGTGCATACTAACAGCAGTGGTTAGCAATAGTGGAATCTTAAGGACATCCCTGAAAAGGACAACTTTTCCTTCCCCAAAAAGAGTTGCTGACGCTGTTGGCATCGCTCATAAGCCGCCTCGTAGCTTGTAGTACGAGAATAGTCGTAGACAGACAGACACACAGACCAAGCACTGTAACCCTCGCTGCACATGCACGCCCTTGATGACTGGCTCCACTGTATTCTAGTGGTATTATTTAGGTTTCTAGTAAATGTGTACCATAGCTGTAGAGAGGCCGATGGAGACAAGACTAGACGAGCTGTCCCGACTAGTGTCATGTGCCCTCGCACCGTCCTCTGGACCAATCAGATCGCTTGATTCAGTTACCGAGGAGGATAAGACGTCTCTGTCGCCACACGTATGCAGCAGCTCTGGCCAGCTGTGCTTTCTCTCTGATCAGTGACCTGGCCAGGTGTCCCTTGGCTACAGCTGCAGGAGAAAGCAACAACTAATTATCCATCGGACCACACCCAAATCGTGGAAGGGGCAGGGTCAATATTGTATATATAGCACTAAATGGCACACCCTCGGCACAGCACATGCATGTGTTGACATGTGTGTAAAATAACAGCTCACGCTTTACTTACATACTATATATAGAAAGAAGGGAGAGAAAGAAGTGTGAGAAGGGCTGCTGTTCACTGGATATCTACATACATGCACAGGCCTGTATGTATATGTATCTATCATCATAGACTATAGTCATACCAGGAGAGGAATTTGGTGACACGCTGACTGTCTTTACCCTGATAGCTGGCTTCCTCCGCAAATTACTGGCCTACAGAAAGTAATATTAACACACGTCATGCACTTACATGTCATACAAAGTGACAAGATAAGTGGTATAATTATACTGTGTGTATGTTGGAGACATATGCTGCAGTTGGTATTACAAAATCTTAACATGCCCACCACAAATGTGTAAGGCAAGTCAAGTTCATGGGTGATATATAGGGTTCAGAAATAAGCTCTGGCAAGTCTCACAGTTGAAAGCTATGCATAGCAAAGGTAATTTGTGCACACAGTTGTTGAATGTTCCCAATCAAACAACGATAAATTATTAGTTCTTTCTAAAAATGAGGTATAGTACACATTAAAAAACACTTGTTAATTCAATTTTTCCAAGGTATCTGCTGCATACAAAAACACTCACTTGTCTCTGGCTTTTCTTGTGACTGTCTCCCATCTCCCCTCCCTCCCCACTCCCCTCCTTCCCCATCTCCCCACCGTCACACTCCTCCATGTAGCGTCGTCCCATGTGACCCAACCCCCCTCCTCCCTCCTCTTCTTCCCAAAGCTCTACGTCACTCGGAGACACCAGACTCTCCATACTCACTGAACTAGACATCTTTGACTTGGGACCTGAACATTGAAAGTGAAACAGAAGAGTGTTCTCTTGACTTTCATACATATTATGTATATATATATACTTTAGAATAAGCTTCTGAAGTAGCCATACATACAAGTCCAGTTTTGCTAACGAAAAACGAAGCCTTACATCACTATTACATCACTGTTTTTAGGAACACCGTGTAGGGCAAGGGCAGATGGAACGGAATGCCTTTCATGGCAAAAACCGGACAGCTCTCGATGCAAAACATTGAAAGTGAAACACAACAGTGTGTAAGTTACACCTGAGAATAAGCTTCAAGCAATACCTTAACCTCAAAAGGGGCACTTTGAAACGGTGTAATTTTAGAGATCAAGGCTGAAAAGGAACCTTTGATAAAAGGAAATTTCTCTAAAAAGGGCACTTGGTTCTGCCCCGTACTAACACATTACTATATACACTTTGAATAAGTAACACCACTGAATAAAAAGGACAGTCTTGACCCAAGGCACTATATATATCCCTCATTCGTAGGTCAGCAACCCACTTCTCTTGTCTCCATATATGGTGGTTTTCAAGGTGGACTGTGAGAATATGGAGCTCTCCTCAATGACAGGCAGAACTGCACCAGAGTCGTCAGGAACCCTCTGCTCCTCTGGTTCTTCCTCTTTGTCTTCTATCCATTCCTCCCTCTCTCCCTCCTCATCTTCCTCTCCGTCTCTCCAGCCATCAACTTCATCTCCATCTCCCCAGCCCGCAGTAGAATCATCTGGAAAAAATGATGTGAAATAAATGCTTATTATTCCCAAATTTGAAAGTGCATAACTTTTATCTTTACATACGTAGATCCAGATTACATGTACACGTACTCGTCTAGAGCATAACCTAAAGTGCCTAAAATGTTTTTAACACTCAAAAATTTGCCATTCCTTATCACTCACACACAGACCTTCTCTGGTGGGGAATATTTCAGAAATGGCCTTCCTCTTCCTGGAGCCGTGGCTGGGAACACTCTGTGGTGGTCCAGTGTTGGTGGTGTAGTCGGATGGCTTGTAGGAGTGACGCTGACGGCGCATGCGCTGCTTCATCTCCAGATGCTTCTAGAGAGGGAGAGAAAGAATCTCGCTACTACTGTGGGCTTATATAAAGGCACTCATATACAATGGAACCTGCAAAATCTCCGAAAAAATAGGAATACCTTAAATGTGTCATTGATTCAGAGGCATCCCTTATTCCAAAGAAATAATATGCATTGGGCAGAAGCAAGTGTCCTTTACTCAGATGCACCATGTATGTCTCAACAACTTGGTAACGAGGTAGAAAGGCAAACAAGTCAACTACACCCAGGACAGCTCTTTCTTTTCAAGAAGAGCTGCCCTGGGTGGGATTTGAACCCACGACACTCTGCAGTCCAGGCGAGCGCTCGTAAAGGACACTACAAAGGACACCAATTGAACACACCTTTCTCAGATATTCGACGTGGCACTGGATAACTTGTCGTATCTTCTCCACCACCTCCTGTTTAACCCTTTCCGACCTCACTCTGATGCGATAGCTCTGACTGGGCCTAAGGACACCTCCATCAGTGTACACTTTGAACCCTGTCGGCTCTGCTTTCACCTCATCAAACTTCAGTACAGCAACCTACACATACAGCAGTGCAATAATAGAGAGGAAGAAAAAAAGTAAAAATCTCCAGTCATTGCACACTAACAGCCAGTAACTAGAAGTATGCAATAAATTTTCTAATTTCAAAATTTAGCCCTTATGCACTGCCACATTCCCTTTAACATTGTTGTTGTTCAAACTGCACTGCGAATATTACATCTATTATAGGTACATACATAAATTGATATAGTATTAGTAATGGAGGACCACAACAGCATTGTTGTTGTTCAACATGCACTACGAATACTGTAAAACCGGAAATATTCGCGCTCCATTAAATTTAGCGAATTTGGCGTTAAGAAATAAAATCGCTGAAATTAATGGTCCCCCAAAATTGTTTCTATAAGAGGTCGAAGTTAACCACAACTTACAAAACGCTAATATTAATGGCTGCCAGTATGTGGAGTCTGAGTAAAATGCTAAATATAATGGCCGCCAATATTTCAGGCTTTACAGTATTACATGTATTATACGTAGGTACATAGATTGATATAGTATTAGTAATGGAGGACCACAACAGCATTACAACTACATACTATTGTATACATGCAGTATGCAGGTACCATAATAATGGGAGAAAAAAGAAGTCAAAACACACACGATTTGGGGATTAATTTGGTAAATAAGCAATGGTACACTAGAGAAAACAGGCAGTCCTATCTTTTCCCCAGAGAGCAAACATTTAGTAGATTACAGATGTCCTGCTATTTCTGTGACAGAGTCTATAAAAACATTTTGAACACCGAGGGAGACACTGACATTGGCAGGAAATCTCAAAAACTTAATGAAAAAACTTTCACCAAATTTGGCTTTTGATCTCAAAACTATCAGCTCTCACTAGCAAACTTAATGGTGAGTCAGAAATGATGAGCTGACCTCAATGTGGCCTTTGTAGTTGTAGCGATTAGAATCCTTCTTCTTGAGGAGAAGGAGCAGTTTGTCAAAGATGACGAGCTCTCTGTCTCGCTCTGCCCCCATCTTGCCCACATGGACCTTACACTTGCACTGGGGAGTGAGGCAAACACACATGACTCAACAACTTGGTAACGAGGTGGAAAGGTAAGGCAAACAAGTCAACTACACCCAGGACAGCTCTTTCTTTTCAAAGAAAAGAAGAAGAGCTGCCCTGGGTGGGATTTGAACCCACACATGTACATGTACTTTGTAGACTGGGCTAAACTTTTCGTACTTTTAGCAAGCAAGTGTGGGGAAGGACATGCCAATCAACCATCCTGAATACCTTCACTATAGTTGGAGTGTGCAGTGGAAGTAAGTGAATATAGAAAATAGGGTGGCCTAAACTTTTCGTACTTTTAGCAAGCAAGTGGGGGGAAGGACATGCCAATCAACCATCCTGAATACCTTCACTATAGTTGGAGTGTGCAGTGGAAGTAAGTGACTATAGAAAATAGGGTGGCCTAAACTTTTCGTACTTTTAGCAAGCAAGTGGGGGGAAGGACAGGCCAATCAACCATCCTGAATACCTTGACTATAGTTGGAGTGTGCAGTGGAAGTAAGTGAATATAGAAAATAGGGTGGCCTAAACTTTTCGTACTTTTAGCAAGCAAGTGGGGGGAAGGACATGCCAATCAACCATCCTGAATACCTTCACTATAGTTGGAGTGTGCAGTGGAAGTAAGTGAATATAGAAAATAGGGTGGCCTAAACTTTTCGTACTTTTAGCAAGCAAGTGGGGGGAATGACAGGCCAACCAACCATCCTGAATACCTTCACTATAGCTGGAGTGTGCAGTGCACGGGATAAAACCTATTTTTATTCACGGCACGACGCAACAGGACATGAGGCAGTAAGACAAATTGTGAACCTGGCTTTATTTACTATGATACGTATGTACAAAAACCAGCACAAACCTCTTGAATAAGTTCTCCGTAAGTGGTCCCTCTTGGTCCTCCACATAGACCCTGCTGTATTTCCTGCACGTTGTTGGGGAAACTGAGGCTCAACACATGTCACACGGAAACTCCATAGTGTTACGAACATACATACACTGCTATACAGGTGTTCGAATCCCACCAAAAAAGTTTATTGCATAGTACGTTGCTCGAAGCTCTAAATCGATTTAGTGCAAGGAAATGTATGCATGAAACTCCTCTAATCCAGCAATAAATGGGGACAGCTATATAGAGTAGGATAGAAAGTTCCCAATATATTATTGGGGAAAGAAAAGGTGTCCATATGAGGGGGTTCCTCCCTCATTTCGGGGGTGTTCTTATTCCACTGTATACACAGTGTGCTCATTTCGGGGTTGTTCTAATTCCACTGTATACACAGTGTGCTCATTTCGGGGGTGTTCTTATTCCACTGTATACACAGTGTGCTCATTTCGGGGGTGTTCTTATTCCACTGTATTCACAGTACGTACCTTGGTTCTAAGGGTGTTTTCTTGCTGTTTCGTGACATTGTTGATGTGCTCTGCGGTTCTCTTCATAGCCACAAGAGCTGCCTTCAGACTAGGGTAGGCATAGTGCTCCGTGTTGTAGTGCTTCAGAACAGTCTGTTGGGAGAGGAATAGAGGGGACATTCTAGAACATTCTGTCAGGAGAGGAATAGAGGGGATATTCCTTTGTGCCCTTAATCTGAGGCATTAAAACAAGCGCCCTTTATTGGTGAGGGAACTGAGCCTATCAATGCAGGATAATCCTATATTCTGCCACTGTATGCATACATACGTACGTAATGATTAACCCTCGGCGCGCATGCGCAGCGAGGGTTACGGTAGTTGGGTTTGTGTGTGTGTCTGTCTGTTACTCGTCATCTCACTCCTCGAGTGTTCGTTCGTCTCACAAAGGATACCACCTACTGAACGGGCAATGAAGGTCAGAAATTTCGAACGGATTTCGCTGAAAACGCTCCGTTGCAAAGCTGGAGCGCGAAAAAGCCAATATGCAAATACACAACGGCTTACTGCGGTATGATCGATCCGCGTGCTCTGCGTACCTCGGAGGCACTAGAAGATGCAGCGCAGGGCGTGTATCGCCTCTCGCATGCTATCTAGTAGTGTAGTTAGCCCGCGTCAGACTCTGCGCGAGCTGGCAAGAGACCACGAGTAACAGCTAAAACTAAACCCAGCCCATCAATTAGTGGTACGGCGCATGCATTTACTTACGCGTGCGCGTCATAATACGCCGAGGGTTTGCACTTCAGTGCTTTTCATTTATTGAGTAGCTAATATTATTGTATGAGGGGTATCTCTTTACTTCATGTGCAGAAAGTAAGTTAGCATGAGATCTATATACTACGTATGTATGTACACATTATTTCGCACATTCGTACTCACTTTAATGTATAGTAAATTCACTATCATGTGACAAGTTTACAACTCTCTCTTTACTCCCTTCCTTCTCCTTATTTCTCTCCCTCCTTTCTCTTCTACCATTCCCCTCCAACGGTTAAAAAAAACCCACCTGAAGCAGTAAGTGGTACTTCAGAATCCTCTGAACTGGTTTGATGAGATACGCACCTAGCGGCATATCGTGATGTAACTTTTGTTGGCAAACCTAAAGGGGTTAAAGTATAAATAACAACTGTCACTGGTATACCTAAAGGGTTAAATCCTTCTTTATAAACATCTCAGTATTATATGTTAATGATCATAATATGATTTGCACAGGCTTTTTGCAGTACATAAAGTGTGCACAAGGATGTCGCAATTCAATCCTGTGCAAAAAATTTTATATCTTACTTCAATATAGTTCCTGAGTTCAGCATTAGCCACTATTGTGTGATTGAGTAGTTCAGTTGCAGTCTTGAACTTAGTGCAGTACTCGGTATAGCTGGAGAAATCTTCTTCCTGTGTGGGAAAGAGAGTGTGTGTGTGGGAGAGAGAGAGAGAGAGAGAGAGAGAGAGATCAGGAGTTACAGTGGCAACTTAAACCTTCCGTGTGAGCGAGACCAACCAACCATCCTCAATACCTTGACTATAGCTCAGTGCAAATAATCCTCAGGAGTAATTGTAGAAAATGGGCCTGAATTTTCATACTTTTAAAGGTGAAAGCAGATGAGAAGGAAGAAAAGGAGAAATGCAAGAAGAGCGAGCAATAAGAGGAAGAGTGATGGAGAAAGGAGAGAGAGAGAGAGAGAGAGAAATAAACTCACAGCTCTCACGAAGACCTGTCCAAACTCCATGGGGTCGGTGGCCTTGTTCTGGAGACTCTGCAGCAGTCGTCTGTGAATGTTGAGCAGCTGGTCGAGATTCAAGAACACTTTTCTGATGAATGTCTCTCCTTCCTCAGTGTTTTGTAGCCATTTCGACAGAGGGTCTCTGTAGCCCTGTGGGTAGCAAACAGAGCTGATTATTTTTTAAAGAACATTTTATAATTTGTTCAGATGCAAAACGTAATAGGCTTTTGTATACAGCTGCCCTAGGTCGGATATTTGAATACACAACACCCTGCACTCTAGGTGAGCTGTGGGTATGATAGCAAATGTAGAGCTGGTCAAAACATACATCATAATTACGTGGTTTTGTATGTAAAGTATTAGGCTTTTGTAAACAAATATATGGGCATAATGCTGGATAACCTGTGTCATCCCTATATTATACGTACTGTGTAAGTACTGGTGATAGAGTGTCCCTGGTGGGGATTTGTACCCTCAACGTGCCGTACTCTAGACAAGCAGCAAGGCTAGCGGGCATCAGGGGCACGCACTAGATTTTCACAAACATACTGACAATTGCAACTAAATATCTTTTGTATTATCTCGGAATAAACAGTGCAGATGTCATATTCCCCATATAAAGCCCACTCTCTATATACACACTCTGTCTTCTCAATACAATACACACACTCTATAGTGAAACTATAATATAGCTATGAGTCTACTCTATGAACCGGCCACACCTAGTGTACAGACACGTGTAGTTGTAAAAGGCAAAAGGCGGCCGCTTTTTCCTTCCTAATCTTTGTTGACTGTTCACGTATATTTGTACAATAAGACAACTCTGTACTGCCGCTGCTGTCTACAGATGTGTATGTATATATTCTCCTTTAGTCACTAGTCCATATCGCTCTAGCCTAAATACTAGCCTATGGAGTTTACGTGTAGGTGGATAATCTGTATAATTATACTGTCAATTCGGACTCATTGTACACCTATATTCCCCTTTGGACGCCATGGGTATCTCCTTAAATAAGCAGAAATTTATGTATGAAGTATTAGCGCCTAGTATTATGACCCCATATAAAGGACTTATGGAGGCTCTGGACACATGTGTCCGTGGCTGGTTAAGTGTTAAATTTGAACTGCACTATACTAGAGTAAGTAACCTATAGCATTAAGCTTCTTTAACAGCAAACAATGAGCGCAACAAACATTTGGTATGTATATTATATATACCGTTAGCAGCTGTTCCAATGACTGTACATATTTCTCTTCAGTAGTCAATATCTCGTTCACTGGATAGACACAGCTGACTGGCCATGCTTCTGCCAGCTCCTCCTTCTTCCTTCTACCTGCATTGACTGAACAACAGGGCCATCATACGTTTTTCTTTGTGTTTTTGAGTGAGCTGACAAAAGGCACTCCAACCGCCACCTGCGTCCGGTTTTCACGTATTGTTTTATGTATAGTAGTCACTTGTTTTGAGCGCCATACGTCAATAAGCTTTTCCTCCATTTTGTGTGTACACAGGTGTCAGCACTTTGCAAACCTTTCAAAATAAACACAAACTTTCACTTCAGATAACAATAGGATATGTCATCGTAAAACAGCTGCCCTGGGTAGGACTTGAACCCACGACACTCCGCAGTCCAGATGTACAGAGGGCATGCAATACAGTTGGTGGATTACTTAATTGCCTAACACACTCTGTGTTTGCCAACTACTAGTATACCCCAAGAAAGCTGTGTGTAAAACCTGTGTCATCCCTGTACTCCGCTGTCCAGATGATGAGGCATACAGTTGTGGATTTGGTTCAACATGATTGCCTAAAACAGTGCTCGCCAACTACTACCCCAAGATCGAAAGCATAAACCGTGTCACCCCTAAAACTAAGTTACTATCATCGTGCTTAGTGATATACACTCTACCTGTTGGAGAAAAGGAGATACTCATATCTACTGACTCCAGTGACGACTGACTCAGTGGTCGCGAGGGCTCACTGGTCTCCATGGTTACACCCAGGCTGCTATGGAAACACACCAGGGTCAGTTTTCTCTGTCACACAGCAACTGCGAAAAACAAACATTAGTTGTGCAGTCTTTTCTCCTGGTGATGTACAAATTAAGTGGTGTGTGTGGTTTTTGCCAAGGCTAGAGGCGCCTAAATAAGTACAGCATATGGCTAAACACCCAAAGAGAGTATAAGAAGTGTTCAGAGGTCACAATAATAGCATGTAAGGAGTTAACGTGTAGCAGCACCGTGCAACACAGCTGTTTTTGTGTAGCCGCTTATCCACTGGCGCCGGTACACAACTCGTCCTGTGTACTGCCGTTCAATACTCGCTAACATTCAGGGTAACCAGCTAGTTTACTGGATATCCACTTCCCTCCCTCTCCCCTCCTCACTTAGTGACTAGGTAGTCGTTTTTGGCAACGGAACTTACCGCACGCACCGAGCACTCCCGCGACGCCTGCGAGATATATAGTAGGATATTCAGCCAATGTGCTCCGAGAGACGGCGGTTAGTTTAGTTCAGCTGGGCTCCGGCCCCACGCTGCTGCTGCTCCTGCGAGGACCAAGACAACTGGAACTGCTACAAGTGCAGATGTACGTAGACTATGAATATCATTAATAATAAGCGCTCGGAGGTGGGCGTTTAACGAATTAGAGTCGATGCGTTTATGATGTATTCTGCTAGAAGCAAGGTGCTGTGGCTGAGTGCCTGTTACTCCATCGCTAGAGGTAGCAGGGCTCTCTCCGTATGCCAGCCAAGAGGAGCTAGGACGTTCGAAAAAGCCCCGAAAATACGGCGAGCAGAGTGCGCTCCAATTAGAACAAGATCCCTGTGCACGGTAAGTACCCACGTGGTTGCCTGGACAGTAAAACAACCCTCATTCAGGACACATTTTGGAGTAATCCGTACACTCTTTTAAAAACACAATTTCTGAATAATATACACAATATATTTGCTCAGTCTACAGATGAGGGAGAGGTAAAACGTGGAGTGGTCATTGGTTGCTATGAGACTAGCGATGGTTATCAACTAAGTGGGTGTGGTCAGGGAGTGGATGGAGAATGTTCCGGACAACTTACCCAACTCCTTGCCAGGTTTATTTACTGTAGAGTAGCACACATGCTTTCACTAGAACCCCTCTCTAAGGACACCCCTGAAATGAGGACGCCTCTCTAATAGCGCCACCTTTTCTTTCCCAAAGAGTGATTTTCTTCTAACCCCTGAAATAAGGAAACCACTAAATGTGGATGCTTTCTGCTGTTCAATTGGTGTCCAAATAAGGGAGTGGTTCTCCTGTACGGAATTGTATGTGATGTAATATTGTAACTCAGTTCAGGTGGTAAGGTAAAGAAAGGGGACTGTCGACTATTCTATGATGTCACCAAGGACCACGCCCACGTTGCCGTGGTAGGCGTGGGGTCATGTGACCCGGAGATCGGCTGTGAAGATATCGATGTTAAGAGACAAAACATCCGCAGTGCCGCTGCTGGTCTGTTGGGCAGTTTTTACTACATAGCTCCATTTACTCTCTCTCTCTTCTCTTATCTTGCTGTTTTTTTTCCTACTTCCAATTATTTTCTCCATCTCTATTTCTTTCTCCCTCCCTCCATCTCCCCTGAGTTGAAAAAAAACTCTGGAATTTAATAAACGATCAATTTCACCCGTCTTGACCGCCTTCTTCTCTAGTTGGCGTGAAAACCCTGCAGAAGGCTGGAGTGACTGATATATCAATTGATGGCCTGGGAAATCCTGAAGGTACGTAGGTACCTACAAAATACAATCAAATAGAATTGATAGAATTGTCGCAGAATGCAAATTCTGACCTACAGAGTAGTTTCCTTGAAATGTGTAGGCGAAAAAGTGCTTTTTTACATTATTTTTGGAAAGTTACCTATTCGAGGAACATGCTAACATTACTACATTCCAACAACAGTTTCGAACTTGTTCACATGTAAAACGGATGTAGATTCTGTTCATGTTTTTCATGTCTCTTGTCTTTTTCTCTGTAATGTTGTATGATAAATCCATCGTAGCACTTGTTGTCTCATCAACCTCAATGTATGGGTACAATGGGTCCATACTGTATGTATACATAATGTATTGGTCTCTCAACTGTAGCAAAAGTCTCAATGTATGGGTACGATGGGTCCATACTGTATGTATACATAATGTGTGTTAGTTTGGGCAAAAGTCTCACACAACCTCCATGTATGGGTACAATGGGTCCAAATGTATGTATACATAGTATGTGGTTTGTCTCTCAACTGTAGCATGTGCAGAAGGAAGTGTACTGGGCACTTTTGTCTTTGACAAACTGAAAGACAGTGAGAAAAGAAAGGAACCGCCAGCAATCACATTGATCAAGTAAAATACATTGTATTATGCACATCACCAATTTTGTATGCAATTCGTATGCATGACTTTGACTCTGACATGACAAAGAGAGAAACGAAAATAAATGTAGCTTTTCATGTACACTCACTACTACAAAGTGTTTTTGCTGTATACAGTTATCCTATTCTGTCCCAGTTCCACGTCAGAGTCGGAGGTGGAATGGAACCGGGGCTGTGTCCTGGCATCGGCACAGAACTTTGCGCGAGAGTTGAAAGAGATGCCGTCCAACCTCCTGACTCCCTCTCTCTTCGTTGATGCAGTGGGGGAGAGAATGGCTGGCAGAGAGAGCCTGGAGTTCATCCCTCGGTTAGTCTGACAGTAGCTTTTATCTATGAACAATGGTTTAGTGCACATATGAACGTATTTTGGTGTAGTTGATAATCACTCTTAGTTGGTGAGCGAAGCTGGCCCACCTAGTTACTGATTTTAGTGTTGTTTTTTTATTTGTAGACAGAGCTGTCCATACCATAATGCATTTGGCAATGCACGTAAAACCTATGAAATGTTGCACTTATTTGATCACCTGTAGCATTGGATTCGTTCCGGTTTTGCTCTATTATGTTACCGATGGACTCCCTCCCTCCCTTAGTCCCAAGTCTTGGATAGAGGAGAAGAAGATGGGGGCGTTTCTGGGCGTGGCCCAAGGTGCCGCCACGTCACCATGGTTACTGGAGATGAGATACAATTACAAGCCTGAGGACACGCCCATTGTCCTCGTCGGAAAAGGTGATTGTTCTGTACACTTTTATGTACCAATGTCTTCTTGTATACTTACGGTAATAAGTACATGATTTGCCAGGGAAAATGCTAGCAAGTCTTTCAGCGTAAAACAATGACAACATTGAATTCAGAAACTGTACGTTGTATTTTTTTAGTAGGCCAGTACGCTGCATTTGCTAACATGAATACAACAACCGTCTGTGTGCAACTCCTTGTTCAATACATGATACTTAGTGAGCATGAAATTCTTTTTCTCTCTCCCTCTCATATCATGTCGTCCAATCAGGTGTGACCTTTGACACTGGAGGTATATCGATAAAGCCGTCAGCGGGGATGGGGTTAATGCGAGGTGATATGGGTGGGGCGGCTGCAGTCGCTGCCTCAGTATATGCAGTGGCACAACTTCAGCTGCCCATCAGGTGAGGATTACATTTTCCTAAACAAACTGCTACGGTAATTTCAGTAAATTCTGCGGCGGTGTTGGAATTACATCCTGATTAGGATGTTATGTAAGGCATATCAGACATGCCCAAATACATTCTGAAGATGTAATGAGGGGACTATGATTTATTTTTCTAATATTGTGTTCAGTTTGGTGGCTCTTATTCCCCTGTGCGAGAACATGCCGTCTGGTACGGCCTTCAAACCTGGAGACGTAGTCACTGCAATGAATGGAAAGACCATCGAGGTCAAGCCCAATATAAACATATTGTGCAACGCAACAATGTTTGAAGTTGTTCCATGTATTGGGCTCAAAGGGTACGTACAGCAAAGCAAGGGTTCACTGGGGGGGTAAGGTTTGCTCAGATAGGAGTTTAGTTGAACCCCTATCAATTTCAATGAAGCCTTTCAACTGGGGAGATCGTAATTGGCGAGTGAAGTGAAGCTACATTGTCGCCTCAATTCGGGATTTTTCTGTATTATGTGACGGGTGCACTGCCACTGAACATACCGTAATTCTAAATACCCATGCGGAAAATTGAACTACTACTTGAGTTTGCTCCCACCAAAGATGCCTTGCATTTCGTTCTAGTATAATGCAATCTTGTCATGTATCTGATCTACAGGTTGATAACACGGATGCAGAAGGTCGTCTCCTGCTGGCGGATGCCCTGACCTACGCCCACTCCTTCTCTCCCTCCACCATCATCGACCTGGCCACTCTGACTGGAGCCGTTGACGTGGCTCTGGGCTCTGGTGCTGCCGCCGTCTTCACTACTGACGATGACCTGTGGTCTGAGATTCACCAGGTACACAGACACACACACACCTCACTGTCCATAGCTGGAAACTTGGGAGTATTCATTAATAGAGAGTGACTTTTCCACAGATGCGTAAAAAAACATTTCGGAGTGAATAAGAAATGTTTAATGGTTTTCTCCATTGACTGTGTTTTAATCGTTGGCGAGCAAAGTGATCCTAAATAGTCATCTGAATGCGGGATTCTTCTATTATTATTTGATGGGCACGTCACATACAATAATGTTCTATAATATATGTGATTTTACATATACACGAAATGTCGAACATCATTCTAAATAATGTGTGAAAATTTAAACTGCTCGCGCTCGCTAAACTTGTTTATGGTATAATTATTATAATCTAACTGTAGGCAGGTCAGGTGACAGGGGACAGGGTGTGGAGGATGCCTCTCTACCAGCAGTACACCAAACAGATTGAGGCCAGAACTGCTGACATCAGCAACGTGGGGGCCAGAGGAAGGTACATACATTCAGTGAAGAATGCAGGGCTAAAATTGGCCGAGAATGCCAAGTAGATGACTTACTAGAATTTGTGGACTACAACTCGACATTGGTAAGTACTACGAGGTGACTACGAGAAGGAACGAATGCATGTCTAAACATACACTCTTGATGCCAGAGAGAGACGTTGAGTATGCTCTGATGCTGAGGGCACAGAGTGACTCTCAACGAGCAGCGTCAGAAGTGCCGCATCTTTGTGTATCATGTGGCATCACGTGGTTTGTCACCGGTGGATATACACGGGGATGCCGGAGCCTTGCACAGCCGCAGCATTCCTCAAGGTTAGTGAGTCATTTCATCAACTGCTGCATGTTTGTACTCTCCAGATGTGAGAGGACTGGTATTTTCAATTTTTCAGTAACTGGGACTGGGAGTTAGAAGAAATTAACCCTCATGACTCCCTGAAAAAACATTTGCTCACGGATTCATTGTTTGCTTCAACATTTTGTGAACACTGTACATCTTTCCAAAAGAAATGATTGCGCCTCATTCTCAGTTACAGCCACGCTTAAGTTAGCCTTGTCCTTCTCCCACTTAGAGTACGAAGACATTTAGACCCTCCTATGCACTTACATACCACAGAGTATGTAGCACGCTCGATCAATGTACTCAGGATAGTTAGTGACATGTTGTTTTACATACTCAGGCTGTATATACGGAGTTCGTTGAGGTGAAGCGATGGGCTCATCTAGATATAGCTGGAGTGATGCACAGCATGGAGAGTGGCCTTTTCTTGACAAGGGACTGTCAGGTACAGCTCATACTCACTAAATCCGTATCTATATATAT